AACATCCCACTGAGGGCAGAGCCCTGCAGGACAGACCTGCAGCAGGTCAGACAGAGCATGTTATAGATAAGTTTATTCTTATACACATATATATATATATATATATATATCTTCTTATATATATAAGAATAAACAACCTTGAAAACCAGCACAGACGAATTATGACTTCTTCTTCGGCAACGGGGCAGAAAGACAGAGACTTTTTACAATCTCAGGATCATCAATATCTCAGATTCTGACGTCCTCCAACCCGTGCTTCCAAAGAAAGGCTCAGCAGTTTCTTGTTTGGTCTCAAGGCAGTTTATTGCAAGTTATCTAAAAGATTTTGTTCTTGAGCTGCTGTGGTTTGCTCACAGCTCAGGCAGAGGCACACACACACCCTGACATCCTCTCTGACCCCGACTGCTTCTTCTCTCCCCCTGCCCCTGGGCTGGTGTTATCTTTTATATGGTACATTACGTCTTAAATATTTATAGTTTTTTCCCAATGCCTATTTACCTATATTAAATGGTGCCTTTTTACTCTAAACCAACCTGTGAGTGCCAACATCACCAAGATCATGGAGGTAAAGAAGGAGAAAGAGGGAGGACAGGGCAGGCCCAAATCCCAAATCCATCTTAAAACTTCTGGCCGCCATGTACAAAATCAAAACCCCCCTGTACAAGACTTAAAACCCCCCTGTACAGCACTCAAAAATTCTTCCCTTTACTTTGTGACTATTTTTACTATAATATCTAAATTTTGTGACTTCTTGTTCTTCCTGCAAGCTTGGTAAATCATTCCATGGTTCAAACCCAAAATCACAGCTGTGTCCAGCTGCCTGCCAGGGTCTCAAATGCTTCTGACCTGGGCCCGGAACACCCAAAACTGTCTGAGGGACATTTTGAGTTCTGACAGGTTAGGGTTTGGTGGCCGCTGTGGCCGCGTGGCTCATGGCCCCGTGTCCTCCCCAGGACGCCTTCTACGAGTTCCGACTGGTGGCCTTTGCTGGCAGCTACATCAGCGACCCCAGCAACACGGTGAACATCTCCACGGCAGGTAAGGCTGGGGATGGAAAACAGAGGTGGGAAACACCCAAATTCCCAAAGGAGAACCCCCCTCCATGCTGCTCCCACCCCCTGGCCCTGCTGCTACACGGACAGAGCAGGACCCCCAAGGCTAAACCTACCAGGACTGCTGGCTTCATCCTCAGGGAGCAGAGCATCCTTTCTGGTGGTGCCCAGGGTGGTGGGCACAGTCCTGCCAAGGGCACAGCAGCCTCTGAGCTGAGCTGAGCTGTTGTCCCCCTGACGCTGGTGGCACATCTTGGGGGGGCCATGCCTGCCTGATGGGGTGCCCTGCTAAAACTACCAGGACTGCTTGGCTTCATCCTCAGGGAGCAGAGCATCCTTTCTGGTGGTGCCCAGGGTGGTGGGCACAGTCCTGCCAAGGGCACAGCAGCCGCTGAGCTGAGCTGAGCTGTTGTCCCCACAACGCTGGTGGCACAGCAGCCTCTGAGCTGAGCTGTTGTCCCCACGATGCTGGTGGCACATCTTGGGGGGCCGTGCCTGCCTGATGGGGTGCCCTGTGCCTGGCAGGGATGGAGGTGTACCCGTCCCGCACGCAGCTGCCCGAGCTGCTGCCGCAGCCGGTGCTGGCGGGGGTCATCGGGGGGATCTGCTTCCTCAGCGTGGCCGTCATCTTCAGCACCACGGCCGCCTGCCTCACGAACCGGCGCCGCGCCGCGCGCCTCCGCAAGCGCCGCCAAGGTACCGGGGACAACGGGGACACGGGGACAGGCCAGCCAGGGTGGGGGGACCGAGTGGGTGCCGCCGTCTCCTCCTCATCGCCTTTTGAGTTGCTCGCCGTGTGATTCCCCCTGTGTTCTCATGGCCTTCCAGATCCACCACTCGTCTTCTCCCCCAGCAAGAAGCTTCCACCTCCACAGTAAGTCACGCCACGCCATTGCCACGCTCCCTCCCTGTCCTGACGTGTCATGCCGTGCCATGCCATGCCATGTTCCCTCCCTGTCCTGACGTGTCATGCCGTGCCATGCCATGCCATGTTCCCTCCCTGTCCTGACGTGTCATGCCGTGCCATGCCACGCTCCCTCCCTATCCTGCTCCCACCATGCCACGTTCCCTCCTTGTCCTGCCATGCCATGCCATGCCATGCCATGCCATGCCATGCCACACCACACTCCCTCCCTATCCTGCTCCCACCGTGCACATTCCCTCCCTGTCCTGCCATGCCATGCCATGCCATGCCACGTTCCCTCCATCTCACTCCCTCCCTGTCCTTCTTCCACCATGCCACATTCTTTCCCTCTCCTGTCCTGCCATGCCATGCTGTGCCATGCCATGCCACACTCCCTCCCTGTCCCTCTCTTGCTCCTCCACATCCCCTTCCCTCCCCGTCCCACCTCTGGCTTTCACTCCCCCAAATCCTGCTCCCTCTCATCCCACTCCTGGCCATGCCACACTCCCCTCCCTCTCCCACTCTCTCCATGGCATTCTCCCCTCCCTCCTTGTCCCTCCCTGTCCCGCTCCTGGCCATGCCATGTTCCCATCCCACTGCACTCCTCATCATCCCTCTGCCACCAACTGGGGGCACGGGGACAGCCTGGGGACAGCCACCCCCTGCTGCACTGCCCAAGGGCGTTAGGAGCGGGGTGTCCTCATCCCTCTGCCACCCTGGGGACAGCCACCCCCTGCTGCACTGCCCAAGGGCGTTACGAGCGGGGTGCTGCCACCGAGGCTCCCCTTGTGCTCCCTCTGGGGCAGTTTTGTCTGGAGAAACAAATGAGGGAATGCAGGAGCAGGGCCTGGCAGCACATCTGGCGGCTGCTGCAGCTGCTGCCTCTCCCTTGCAGCAATGCTCGCGGCCCTGCTAGCCCCGCCAGCACGGTGAAGCTGAAGCTGCAGCCATCACCGTGCCGGAGCCTGCACCGGACGCTGCTGTGGGGTGAAAAAGCCGGCACCAGCCTGGGGCTGAGCATCGCCGGCTCCCGTTACCCCGGCTACGAGAGCCACGTCCCGCTGGAGCGCATCTGCCGCGGCCCCGACGGCCGCTTCGTGCTGGGCTCTCCATCCCCTCGCCCGGAGCCGGAGCCTCCGCCGGCTCCCCCGCAGCCCTACCACCAGCTGCCCGCCGGGGAGGAGGAGGAGGAGGATGAAGAAGAGGAAGACGATGAGCCCGTGTGGCACAGGGAGGTCTCGCTACGCCCCCAACCCGCGGGGCAACCCCGCCGGGGCTCCCGAGCCTCCGGTCACCGCCACGGCCGCTACTTTGGCTACGGCGGCAGCAGCAGCCCCGTGGATGAGGCCGTGGCGTTGAGCATCACCGACATCAGCCCCGTGGCCTCTGCCGCCGCCACCCTGCCTTACAGCGCCGTCCCGGAGCCCCCCGGGCCCCGCCACGGCCCCCCCTGGGACTCACCGCCCCGCCGGGGCTCCCCCAAACCGGCCGCCGGCCCCCCGGTGTCCCCCGGCCCGCCAGCCATCAGCGGGATCCTGCAGTACCTCAGCCTGCCCTTCTTCAAGGAGATGTGTGTGGACGGCGACTGGCCGCCCCCGGAGGAACCGGGGGAGCCCCCCGGCCGGCCGGAGCCCCCCGCCAGCCCCCCGGCCGCGGAGCGGACGCTGTGCCCGGGCTGCATTGACACAAGTGCCAACGCCACCTCCTCCGCGTTCCTCGAGCCCCCCCGGCTGCCCCCGGGCCCCGCCAAGGCTTCGCTGCCCGGTTCCCCCTCCTGGCCCCGCTCCCCCAGCCCCGGGATTCCCCCGCAGCCGGTCCCGCATCTCCGGACTGAAACGCCGGGGCGGCCGCCGGACGCCGCCGCGCCCGAGAAGCTCCCGCGGGGCAGCTTGACCAGCCAGAGCAGCGGCCGGGGCAGCGGCTCCTTCCTGCGGCCCCCCTCGCTGGCACCGTCCTTGGGGGGCACCTTTCTGGGCACCCCCGTCGGCGACGGGGGCAGCTGGCACAGCGGGGGCTCGGCAGCGGAGGGCAGGACGGATGCTGGCGCCGGGAAGAGGTGAGCCACGGGCAGGGCGCTGGGATGAGCTCCCGGAGCGTGCTGGGGCAGCTCCGGGCCTGTCCCACCGAGCCTGGCGTGGCACGGAGCCACCTCCCAGCCCTGCAGTGCCGTGGGGACACCCCCTCCGCTCTGTTCCCTGCCCCGAGAGACCACCCCAGTTCTCCCCCAGCTCCCCATGTCCCTCGGGGTGGTGCATCCCCGGGATCTGACCTTGGGATGTGCCCCTGCCACCCATCTCTGGGCACCTGTGGCTTGGCGTTTACCCTGATGTTCATCCTTGGGGGTCTCATGGCCATCCCTGCCATCATGGGGGGACACGGGGGGAGATGGGGTGGTCTCAGACCTCCCAGACCTCAGGGTCTGCCCTGACCTCCATCCCCGGGCTCTCCATCCCCAGGGTTTCACACTCATCCCCAGAGCTTCCACTTTCTTTGGGTCTCCCCTGGAACCCATCCCCTGGGCTTCCACTTTTTTGGGGTCTCCCTGACCTCCATCCCTGGGCTCTCCATCCTTGGGGTTTCACACCATTCCTGGGATCTGCCACCTCAGAATCTGCCCTGACCTCCATCCCCTGGGCTCTCCATCCCCAGGGTTTCACACCCATCCCCGGAGCTTCCACTTTTTTGGGGTCTCCCCTGGAGCCCATCCCCGGGACTTCCACTTTTTTGGGGTCTCCCCTGACCTCCATCCCCTGGGCTCTCCATCCCCAGTGTTTCACACTCATCCCCAGAGCTTCCACTTTTTTGGGGTCTCCCCTGGAACCCATCCCCTGGGCTCTCCATCCTTAGGGTTTCACACCCATGCCCAGAGCTTCCACTTTTTTGGGGTCTCCCCGGGGGTCTCACTCCCTCGGGGCTGGGGGGTCCGTGCCCCTCTCCCCCTCCCCGCAGGAGAAACACTTCGGTGGACGAGAACTACGAGTGGGACGCGGAATTCGCGTTGGAATCCGAGCTCCTGGAGGCGCTGCAGCTTTACCGGGGCGCGGCCCCGGCCCGGCCCGGTTCCTCCATCGCCCTGCGGGACCTGCAGCGGCACAGTGAGTGCGACCCCCCGTACCCCCCGTGCCCCGTGGCCGGCTGCCACGGAGGGACCGGACGCTGCTTATCTCCCCGCAGAGCCCGGCTCGGCCCCGGTGAGCTCGGTGTCGGCGGAGGCGCTGGGCACGGGGGGTCCCCCGGAACGCGGCCAGACCCCCCGAGCCGAGGGGCTGGGGGCGAGGCGCCGCAGGGAAGGGGCCCAGCAGCGGCGGCAGCGGGTGGGCACCCGTGGGTGCTGCTCCGAGCGCTTCGAGGTGGCCACGCTGCTCTAGGTGGTCCCCCGTGGGGGGGAGGAAATAAAGAAGCGTGAGAGCAGCTCTGGCTCCTGTTAGCGAGGGGATCCCCAAGGCGTGCAGGGTTCTGCCACGTCCCCCCATCTTTCTAAACCCCCTCTGTCCCATCCTCCCCTCCCTCCATCTTCTCAGTTGCTCCCCATCTTCTTCGTGCCTCCTGCGGGCTCCCCAATTCTCCTGTGTTGTCCCCCCATCATCTTCCCCATCCCCTGGCCACATTTTCCCATTCCCCACTTGGTGTCCCCCTATCAAATCCCACCCCCCTCCCATCTTCTCGTGTCCCCCCCCCCCCCTCAAATTGCTCCGTACCCCCGTTTTCCTCACGTCTCCCCTCATCTTCCTCGGGGTGTCCCCCTCATCCTCTCGCTACCCCTCCCCCATTTTCTCGTGCCCCCTCCCCAAAATTGCTCCGTACCCCCATTTTCTTCATGCCTCCTCTCATCTTCCTCCCTCGGGGTGTCCCCTCATCCTCTCGCTACCCCTCCCCCATTTTCTCAGTGTCCCCTCCCCATTTATTCGGGTGGCCGCCATTCCGATGTCCCCCTCCCCTCCCGCTTGCCTCAGTTTCCCCCCTCCCCTCCCTCTCCGTTCCGTTGCCCCCCCCCCCCGGGAGGGGGCGTGGCCCGGCGCGCGCGGGGAGGGGGCGTGGCCCGCGCGGGAGGGGGCGTGGCCAGCTCGCACATGCCCTTATATGGTCACGGCGCGGGAGCGCGTCAGCGAGGGGGCGGGGACTGGCGGTGACGTCACCCGGGGGGGTTCGCGCGTGGGGTTCCGGCGCGGGTCGCGTCGGGTCACGGATTTTGGGCACCCACACCCCGTACCCGCATCTTTGTCCCCCTTTGTGTCCCCCTGCCATGTCCCCGTGGCCCCTCATGATGTCCCCTCGTGTTTTCCCCCTGCCACGCCCACCCCATCTCCCACCGTGTCCCCCCATTATGTCCCCCCATGTTCCCTTGCCACGCCCACCCCCTGTCCCCCCGTCCCCTCCTGTCCCCCTGCCACGCCCGCCCCATGTCCCCCCGTGTCCCCCTGCCATGCCCCCATGTCCCCTATCATGTCCCCTTGTGTCCCCCTGCCACCATGCCCCCATGTCCCCCATGATGTCCCCTCGTGCCCCCTGCCATACCCACCCCATGTCCCCCATGATGTCCCCTCGTGTCCCCCTGCCACACCCACCCCATGTCCTCCCATGTCCCCTCGTGTCCCCTTGCCATGCCCCCAGTCCCCCATGATGTCCCCTCGTGTCCCCCTGCCACACCCACCCCATGTCCCCCCCGTGTCCCCTCGTGTCCCCTTGCCCTGCCCACCTCATGTCCCCAGTGTCCCCTCGTGTCCCCCTGCCACACCCACCCCATGTCCTCCCATGTCCCCTCGTGTCCCCTTGCCATGCCCCCAGTCCCCCATGATGTCCCCTCGTGTCCCCCTGCCACACCCACCCCATGTCCCCTTTCAGTTCCTCCTGTATCCCCTTGCCCTGCCCACCTCATGTCCCCAGTGTCCCCTCGTGTCCCCCTGCCACACCCACCCCATGTCCCCCCCGTGTCCCCTCGTGTCCCCTTGCCCTGCCCACCTCATGTCCCCAGTGTCCCCTCGTGTCCCCCTGCCACACCCACCCCATGTCCCCTTTCAGTTCCTCCCGTGTGCCCTTGCCCCGCCCACTTCATGTCCCCCATCGTGTCCACCCCATGTCCCCTGGCCCTGCCCCTCATCCTGCCCTCTGTCCCTGCCTCAGTTTGTCCCCAAGGTCCCCCACCCCACTTTGGGTGACCCCCACATTGTCCCAATGGTGCCCTGTGACACCCCGGCCTTGTCGTCCCCCTGTGCCACCCCCGGGGGTCCTGTCCCCAAACCACCCCCTGTGTCCCCTGGCTGAGGGGGATCCTGCCCCAGTGTCACTGTTCCTGTCACCCAGGTCCCTTGGGACCTTCCTGCCCCTGTGTCACCCCTGGGTCCTGCCCCTGTGTCACCCCTGGGTCCTGTCCCTGTGTCACCCAACCCCGTTCCTGCACCTCTGTGTCACCCCTGCCCTTGTTCCCCCCATGTCACCCCGTGTCCCATGGGTCACCCAGTGCCACCCCCTGCCCGTGTCCCCAACGGCACAGGAAACGCCACCCGAAATCCCCAGGGGACACCGACAGTCCTTAAAGTCACCCCACCCTGTGGCACCCGTGGGTGCAGGGCAGGCAAGGGGACATTCTGGGCTGGTCCACAGCATGACCACAGTGTCCCTGGTGGCACTACAGTGTGACAGTGCCATCAGAAACGAGCTCTGGTGGCACCACAGAGTGACAATGCCATTCCAGCTCTGTGACAGTGCCATCCCAGCCGAGCTCTGGTGCCACCACAGTGGCAGTGCCATCAGAACCGAGCTTTGATGGCACCACAGTGTCACAGTGCCATCCCAGCTGTGTGACGGTGCCATCCCAGCTGAGCTCTGGTGGCAGAACAATGTCACAGTACCATCCCAGCTGTGTGACAGTGCCATCCCAGCCAAGCTCCTGGTGGGCTGGGCACAGCTGGGTGCTGAGGGGTGGCAGTGGTGACAGGGACACCGCAGGGATGGTGACAGGAACCCTGCAGCGGTGGTGACGGGGACACCGCAGGGATGGTGATGGGGATACTGCAGGGATGGTGACACTGCAGTGGTGGTGACGGGGTCACTGCAGTGGTGGCCCTGCCACCCCTTCCGGAGGCGGCCGGTGGCCCCGAGCCGAGGTTTTGTTTTTTGTTTTGGTGGCGCTCGCCATGGAGACGGGACTCGTGCCAACGCCATCGTCCCTGCCGGCGCCACCGGGGACACTGCGGGGGCCACGTCCTCCCCCCCCGACCCTCAGCTGTCCCCTTGTCACCAGAGCCGGCCCCTGCTTGTCCCCGTCATCATCATCATCATCACAGCAGGGTCCTGGCACCCGCCACGTGCCACCGTGGGCATTGTCCCCGTCACAGCTCCTTGCTGCCACCGTGAGAGGTTTTGTCACCAGCAAAATGCTCAGGGGGGTTAAGCACAGCCTGTCCCCATCGTGTGACTCTGTCCCTGCTACTGCAGCCACGCTGTCCCCACCACAGCCACTGTCCCTGTGTCCCCCTGCCACCGTGGCCTCCCTGTCCCCACCACGGTCACATTGTCCCCACCACAGTCACCCTGTCCCTGCCACAATCCCTGTCCCCACCACAGCTACATTGTCCCCACCAGGGCCACCCTATCTCCATGCGGGCCCCATGTCCCCCTGCCACCACGGCCACTCTGTCCCCTCCACAGCCACATTGTCCCCACCACAGCCACATTGTCACCACCACAGCCACCCTGTTCCCACCACAGCCACATTGTCCCCACTACGGCCACATTGTCCCTGTCATGGCTACCCTGTCCCCATCATAGCCACATTGTCCCCAGCACAGTCACCCTGTCCCCACGCAGCCCCGTGTCCCCCTGCCACCACGGCCACCCTGTCCCCGCCACGGCCACATTGTCCCCACCGCAGCCACCCTGTCCTCACTGCAGCCACCTTGTCCCCACCACAACCACATTGTCACCACCACAGTCACCCTGTCCCCACCGCAGCCACCCTGTCCCGTGTCCCCCTGCCACCACAGCCATCCTGTCCCCACCGCAGCCACCCTGTCCCCACCGCAGCCACCCTGTCCTCACTGCAGCCACCTTGTCCCCACCACAACCACATTGTCCCCACCACAGTCACCCTGTCCCCACCGCAGCCACCCTGTCCCCACCCCGTCCCCGTGCCCCCCGTGTCCCCCTCCCGGGGCGGGGCTGCCCCGGGGCGCGGTGCCGGCTCGCTCGCAGCCCCGGCCGCGGCCCCGGCGGATCCCGCCCCGGGGGCGGGCGGTGCCGGGCGGTCCCGGTGACATCAGCCGTGAAAAGGGCGCGGGCGGCGGCATCCGGCACTGCCGCCCCGGGAGCGCGGGACCGGCGCCGCAGGTAGGGAGGGGCTGGCACCGGCCACCGGGCACCGGGCATCGGTGAGGGATGGGGATGGCACCGGGAGCGGCGCGGGCACCGGGAAGGAGATGCGGACCGGGAGGACAGCGACAGGGCGGAGATGGGAACGGGCTCGGGACCGGCCACCATACCGGGGGCTCTCCCGGTGTCCCCCGGGGTGTCCCCCGGGGTGTCCCCCCCGCCCGCCCCGGTAGCGGTTGCGGCCGGACCGCGCCCGCGGAGCCGCCGGGACGCGCGGCCGCGCCCGGGAAACGGGACCGGGGTGCGGCTTCCGGCCCCGCCGTGCCGGGAGCCCCGGGGCGCGCCCGCGGGGCTGGCTCCGGTCCCCTCCCCGCCGCCCCCGGGGGGCTCTGGGCACCCTAGGGTGCTGCAGCCCTGGGTGCAGCCTCTCGCTGCTGTCCCCGGGGTGTGGCGGGGGTCCCCAGGGTGGCTTTGTGCTGGTTGGGGTCCCCTTCTTGTCGCCGCTGGAGGATTTCGGGGGTCCCCGGCGTGGCGCGGTCGCAGCGGCGCTGGGTTCAGCCCTTTCCCTGCCGCCCCTAGGAAAGAATTTGGGGGTGCCCGGGGTGTCCCCTGGGGTGGCTGCCCCATAAGTGGGACCTTCTGTGTCCCCACGCTGGCCGGAGGGTCCCCAGCAGCCCAAGCCGGGCTGGGCGCAGCCCCTCCCGCCGAGTCCGGAGGTCGCCGGGGCCGCGGCGCTGGGTGCGGCTGTGTCCCCATCCCGCCTGGGCAAGCTCCGGCTGGGTCGGGAAGCGATCCCAGTTCCAGCTCCTCTTTGTTTCCCAACTCCTTGGCCCCCGGCCGGCCGCTCCCCACGCCACCCCCGCGGGGTCCCCACATGCCACGCTGGGTCCAGGAGACCTCCGCGGTGGCACAAAGCTTTGGCTCCGGGGGCACACCTGGCTGGGGTCGGTTTTCCTCCTGTCCTGGGGGTGCTCCCGGTGACAGGACCCCCGAGCTTGAAGCCCGGTGTGTGACAGGGGTGAACGCTGCCCCAAACCGAGCCTGGCACCCCCGACTGGAGCTGGGCAACCCCTGGGGCTGGGCCGGGCAGCTGCCACATGTGCCCGGCTGGGACAGGGACACCGGGCAGGCGTGGCCACCCGCACGTGTTCTGGCTTCTCGGTGCCCCCAGATGCCAGCGGGGTGTGGGGGCGATGCACGGGTGGGCAGCTTCATGTGCCCACCACATTGTGGGGCAGAGGGGATGGAGAGACCCCCGAGGAGCTCGGGACACCCTGGCTGTACGGGCAGGGCCACTCTGCTCATGTCCCCCGTGGGCATTATCTCCAGCATGGGTGGCACCGCTCCAGCGGCACCTTGGCACAGCACCTGGCCAAGGGGTGGGGTGGGGACACCGCCGCCATCAGCCCTGGCCCCACGCTCCCGTGCCAGTCCCGGATCTGGCTCCGGGCCCGAGCAAACGGGCGAGATCCTCAAACAAGCTCCGACCGGCCCCCGGCGCCTGCCGAGCCGGCGCACGGCGGCGGGGCCGGGCCGCGGGCCGGGGATGCTCAGGGTGGCACGGAGGGCGTCACAGCGCTGCCCACCCTGCCTGGGGACAGCTGCCCCTCGGGTGGGCACAAACCCAGCGCGTTCCCGGCCAGCTGGGCAGGAAGAGGGCAGAGCCTGGGCAGCGCCTGGCACGGGCGATAAGGCTCCACGCCGGACGGGGCTGTGCCACGCCGAGGTGACGGCGCGGGTGCCACCGGAGCCACCGATGGATGCCACCCCCGCAGATCCTCCTGCCGTCAGCATGGCGAACCGGGGCCCGTCGTACGGGCTGAGCCGGGAGGTGCAGCAGAAGATCGACCGGCAGTACGACCCCGAGCTGGAGCAGGTGCTGGTGCGCTGGATCCTGGCGCAGTGCGGCGGCGACGGCGGCGGCGCGGTGGCACAGCCGGCGCCCGGCAGGGACGGCTTCCAGCAGTGGCTGAAGGATGGCACGGTGAGTAGCCCCGTGGCCAGCTGGCATGGGTGCCACGCACCTGATCCCTACCATTAAACCCCGTCCCTGCCTGCAGGTGCTGTGCCGGCTCATCAACAGCCTCCACCCGCGGGGACAGGCGCCCGTGGCCAAAATCCAGGCGTCAGCCATGGCCTTCAAGCAGATGGAGCAGATCTCGCAGTTCCTGCAGGCGGCCGAGCGCTACGGCATCGCCGCCACCGACATCTTCCAGACCGTGGATCTCTGGGAAGGTGAGCGACCCGCGGGATGTGGGGTGGGACGGGATGGGGACGGAGCCGAGCCTGATGTGGGCCTTCCAGGCAAGAACATGGCGTGCGTGCAGAGGACCCTGATGAACCTAGGCAGCCTGGCCGTGGCCAAGGGTGACGGGCTCTTCGTTGGAGACCCCAACTGGTTCCCCAAGTAGGTGGAGGTGCTGGAGGGGGAGGAACCCGGGTTGTGGGGTCCCCTGGGGATGCTGACACCCCCGTGTGCCCGCAGGAAGTCGCAGGAGAACCGGCGCGTCTTCTCCGAGGACAAGCTGAAGGAGGGGCAGAGCGTCATCGGGCTGCAGATGGGCACCAACCGGGGCGCCTCGCAGGCTGGCATGACGGGCTACGGGATGCCCCGCCAGATCCTCTGAGCCCCTCCGCGCCCCCCAGGCTCTGCCTGCTGGGGACCCCCCCACCCCAAAACTGCCTTAACCCCTCGCCGTGGACCAACCGGGTGCCCCCCGCTCCAAGCCCGGGCAGCCGCCCCCTCGCCAGTTTTATCAGGACCAAAGTCATTTTTTTATTATTATTATTATTTGGCTGGGTGGGGGCGGCGCCGCCGCACCCACCCCACCGCCCCGCAGTGCCTTGGGGGGCTGCTGGAGGCCCCCCCAGCGTTTTGGGGAGCAACCCCTGTGCCCCAATAAACAAATCCACTTCTTCTTTCCGGGCCTGGCTGGTCGTGATTTGGGGCTGGGGGAGGGCAGGGGGCTCCTGGTGGGTTAAAAGTGGGGGACCCCCGGTCTGGGGGGGGCAGGGACCCCATGGCCACACAGAGGGGCGTGGCCACGGCAAGGGGGCGTGGCCACGACAAGGGGGCGTGGCCTTGCTGCTGGATCGCAGCGCCCCCTGCTGGCCGGGCGCTCTCCTTGCAGCGCCCCCTGCCGGCCACGCTTGTAACTGCACCAAAGATGGAAAAACATCTTTTTTTACCCCAAAACAGATGAGAAAATTCTGGTTTTGCGTCGTTTGTTCTGTTCTATTTATTTTCCGGTAAACAGCCGTTATTCCCTTTCGTACATTTTTTTTCCCTGAAAAAAATTTTCCTGAAAAAAACTTTCCCTGAAAAACATTTGCCTGAAAAAAAATTTTCCCTGACATTTTTTTCCTTGAAAAACGTATGAAAAGGAATAACGTATTTTTGAAGTTATAATAATTTGGAGCGAGGGGGAATCTTCTTTTCCATTCCTGCCCTCCTTGGCAGGCATTAATCTTTCACACTGGGAGAAACAGGAAGGAAATTATTCCACTCCCATTTTTTGGGAGCAGCTGAGATCTGGTCCCCGGGAATTCAAAGGCAGCCAAACCCATTTTATATTTTATTTTCTCATTATTCATAACGAGGGACTGGGAAAATGAGCAAAACTCACCAGCTGTGGCTTGATTACATTGACCTAAAACCTTCAGAACACTAAATAAATATGAAAGATGGAAAAATCCCGGGTTTCGCCTCCGGTGCCACAACAAGGAATGGACAAATTCAGCACAGAGAATTTGGATGTTGACCTCAAACCTATAAAATGACAAATAAATGGGTTCTCCTAACCAATTTAATCCCCTAAAATATGCATTATCCCCTAAAATATGCAATATTTTATTTTATATTAATAAAATATATTATTTAAGGATATATATTTTTAATAATATATAAAATTTTAATATATATATTTAAAAATAATATTTCAAATATATACTATATATTATTAAAAATATATTATTAAAATATGCATTATCCCCTAATATATGCAATAACCCCCTAAAAAAAGAGGCATTTCCCTTAATTTAAATCTCTCAAATTATGGGGAAAGGGGGGTTTTCTCAATTTAAACCCTTAATAAGGAAAGGCAGCAGGGTTTCTCCGTTTTTTTTCCCCTTATTTTCATCATCTTAAGGTTTAAACTTCAAGATGATGAAAATACGGGGTTCAAACCTTAAATTCAAGAAAAAAAAAAAAAAAAAAAAAAAAAAAAAAAATAAAAAAAAAAAAAAAAAAAAAAAGCCATCACCCAAGGACTTGATGACGATGGAACTGCACAAAATCGAAGTAAAACACCCAAAATAAGCTCTGTAATTCAAAATATTGAGCAGCAGGTGGCAATGCCACTCCACGGAAAAGATATAGGATTAAAAAAAACCCAAAATCCAAGAAATTCCGAGTGCCTATGAAAACCCAGAGTTCACCCCTTAGAATTTTTAAAACTTTAATAAAAAAAAAGATAAAATTTCCAGCTCGGGGGTGCTGAAAGAGCACTTAAAAAAGCTTAAAATGACATTAAAATCCTATTATCTCCATAGCGTTCCATTGCTGGGGTTACACACCAATTCCTTAGATTATATAAAATTTATTAAATTATTTAAACACTCCCGAGAACTTTTGACGTTGAGAGAACTCAGAGCCTCCTGAACGCCGCTTTGGCCACCAGAGCAGGGAAATTCCAGGAAATGTCCGGGGTTTGTCCATTTTTTGGGGGGTTTTCCCAAGAAATCGTGATTTTTGGTGAACCTCGTTGCTGTTGCTGCTCGTTCTGTTCCCTCTCGTTGCCGTTTCGGGAAATTTTTCTTCTCTCAGCCCTTTGGGATTTTTGGGTTTCCACGGGGGGGGACAGGGGCGGGTTTTAGCGGCACGCGTGGGCACCCATGGGTGGGGAGCGCCACTCCCCCGGTGTCACAGCACATTCCCGTAGATGTCACCGGGTTCCCCAGGTCGCTCGTGGGGTCCCCGCAGCTCCGCGTAGGTCACCTGGGGATCCTGGAGTGTGGTGGCATGGGGGGACGCTGCAAGAGACACAGGCTGTGACATCTGGGTGGGGTGACACTCGTGGGTGACGCGTCCCTGTGCATGTGTCCCCCCCGTACTCACCTCCTGCCCTCTCGGGGGTCAAAATTTGGGTGTACAGCACCTCCCCCTCCTCTGGGGGGGCCGGGGGATCAGGGGGCGCTCTGAGGGAATAAAGGGGATGTGTGGGAAGGGGAGTTGTGGGGTGGGGGTAAAAGGGACTCATGGCTGGAGACCACCACTCACCTTTCCTGGTGCTTCCTGGTGGCTGCAGAGGAAAGAGGGGAGGGGTCACTGTGGGGTCCCAGAGCCCTGACCCCTCTTAGGATTCCTGAAACCCCACGGGACCCTCAATTCCCCTCAGGACCCCCAAGCATCCCTGGAGCCCCCCAGAATTCATAAACACCCCCAGTGTCCCCGAACAACTCAGACTCAACAACGCAAAACTCAGCAGGGACAGAGACCCCCCCCAAGCACACCCAAGGGTGATAGAACCCCCCAAGGGTGGGCCCTGACCTCCCTCAGGATTTCTGAACACCCAAGGGACCCTCAATTCCCCTCAGGACACCCAAGCATCCCTGGAGCCCCCCAGAATTCATGAACACCCCCAGTGTCCCCGAACTCAAGAATCCAAAACTCAGCAGGGACAGAGACCCCCTCAAACCACCCCAAGGGCCCCTGAACGAACCCCCAACATCCCTGCAGGACCCTCCAGCACCTCACCAAACCCTACAGGACCCCCAGCCAAGGTCACAGTTCTGGGGTTCCCTATCGTTCCCAAATTTTGGTGGCCTCTACAGCTCCCTGGGATCCCCGTCACCCCATTGCCACCCACCCACTCGGTGCCACCGGTGCCAGGCCACAATGACACCCACGAGCAGGACCAGGAACAAAAGGGCCCCACCGACCCCTGCAGCCACTGCAAGAAACAGAGGGGGACACATCAGGATCACCCATCACCCCAGGGGTGCTGCACTCCCTGGTGACCCTGTGTGACCCCACCTGTATTCCTGTGTCCCCATGGTGTCACTTCCAGGGCCAGCTCTGGGCTGAGTGCCTGGAACACGCGGTGCCCATCCTGTCCCAGCTGGTTGGTGGCCACGCACTGGTAGGTGCCCGAATGTCCCACCTCGATGTCCCCGAGCTCCAGGAGGGGACCCCGGGCCACCTCCTGCCCGTTGTGCCGCCAGGTGAAGGTGACAGGGGCTGAGCCCACCTGCACCGAGCAGCGCAGGGTCACGGCGTCACCTGCGCGCACCTGGTGTGCCAGGGGACCGGGGGTGATGGTGGCATTGGCCACNAAAACCCTGCAAAGACAATAACGTTTTGCACAAGAACCTGACCAGGTCCCTCCTCCTTGCTGTCTCAAACCTGCAGCCCCGTGGAACATCCTGGCAAGAATATTTGGGTTCTGGCTCGGCTGCCCTACAAGAGGGAATTGTGTGGAAACATCGAGCAGTGTCTGTGTGCTGCGGCCGTGGTGGGGCTGTGGGGAGTGACCCTGTCTGGATTCCAGGTGTCCCCAGAGCTGCTCCATCCCTGCCCTCCTCACCTGCACAGGGCACGGGGAATAGACAGGGCTCTGCCCCCGCCCTGCCCCACCCCTGCCAGGGTACCCCTCCACTTCGCGGAGCTGTGGGGACCTTACCCTGTGTCGTGGTTGAACACTGGCACAATGCCAGTGCCCCCATGAAAATGCAACCTCTCAGTTGAATGCTGTGAAATGAGATCGAGAGCGGAGTAAAGCAGGCCAAGCTTAATAACCAAAAGGGAAAAAACTTTATGAAGATACTAGTACTATACTTTTATTAAAGAGGGAAAAAAATACCAGAAAGGAAAGCACACAAAGAATCCAAAATGAAAACCTGTCAAAACATTTCTCTTCCCAGTGCCCCCAGTGTCACAACACGATCTTGTTGTCACGGGGGTCCCTCTGTCCCTTGTAGGGTCCCGGCAGCTCCGCGTTGGTCACTCGTGGATCCCGAGGTGGGGCAGGGCCAGGGGACACCCGTGGGGGCCCTGAGAGTGACACTGGTTGTGGGGACCTGGGGGAGAGGGGACACCCGAGGGTGATGCATTCCTCTGTCCCCTCCTCGGGGCTGTCCTGTGGGGATAAGGGGGGGTCTGGGCGGTGTCAGGGGAGGCGGAAAGGGGAGTCCCAGCCCAAGCCCCCCACTCACCTGTCCTGGAGCTTCCTGGCAGCTGCAAGGGAAAGGGGAGGGGGTGACCGTGGGGACCCCAGGACCCCTGAACCTTCCTGGCCCCTCGGCAGCTCCAACCACCCTTGGAACTTCTGCACCACCACAGTGCTCCCAACCCACCCGGTATCCCCCACATTTGAGCCCCAGAACCCCAAGCCTGGCAGGGAGGGGCACCTCCAAGCTCCCCCACCCCCCTGAAAAGATCCCACAACATCCCCACATGGCCCATCAAGAGCTACACAAGTGCTCCCAGAGCTCCTGGTGCCGCCCCAATGTTCCCCAAAGCTCACCCAGGGATGGCCCTGGAGCCCAACCAAGACCCTCCAAATTCCCCGCAGATCCCCCAGCACGCCCCGCCGAGGTCACTGCGGGCTCAGTTTGCCCAGCCCAGGGTCCCTGGCTGCTGCTGATCTCTGCCCCCACTCTGGGGGCTTCCCCTCACTCCAGGACCCCCATCCCCCCATTGTCACCCACCCCGGCGGTGCCACCAGAGACAGCCCCCGACGACAGCCAGGAGCAGGAGCAGGAACAGGAGGGTCCTGCCGACATTCACAGCCACTGCTGGGGACAGAGGGGGACACACCGGGGTCACCCTGAGCCTCGGGGGTCCTGAACAGCCCAGTGACCCCGTGGGACCCCACCTGTGAGCCAGGGAGAGCCAGGTGTCACCTCCAGGGCCAGCTCGGGGGTGAGTGCATGGAACACGCGGTGCCCGTCCTGTCCCAGCTGGTTGGTGGCCACGCACTGGTAGGTGCCCGAATGTGCCACCTCGACGTCCCCAAGCTCCAGGAGGGGACCCTGGGCCACCTCCTGCCCGTTGAGCAGCCAGGTGAAGGTGACAGGGGCTGAGCCCACCTGCACCGAGCAGTGCAGGGTCACGGTGTCACCTGTGCGCACCTGGTGTGCCAGGGGACCGGGGGTGATGGTGGCATTGGCCACGGGCACTGCGGGGACACAGACAGGGCTGGCACCGGGCGGGGTGGGATGGGGGTGCCGTGGGTGGGGTCAGCCCCAGCGCGAGGGTCCCGCTCACCCAGCACGGTGACATTCAGGGGGTCACTCTCGGCCACGCTGTCCCCGTTGCTGACCCGGCACCGGTACTGGCCACTGTCATTGTCCTCAATGTGCCGCAGCTCCAGGCGGGGCCCGGTGCCCAGCGGTGCCCCTGAGCCCTCCCGGTGCCAGGAGAAGGACAGGGGACCTGTCCCCTTGGCCACCGCACAGCTCAGCACCAGGCGGTCCCCAAGTGCCACCTGTGCCCCGGGGGGCTGCACCGACAGGGACACCCCCGAGGGCCGGACCCCTGTGGGAGGGGGACACCAGGGGACAGTGAGGGACCCAGGGGAGAGGGGCAGGGGGACCCCAGGGAGGGAGAGGGGGGCAGAGATGGGGGGGCTTGGAAAGGAACCCCGAGATTTGGGGAGGGGACACCGGGAGAGGGAGGGGGCGACAGCAGGAAGGGGTGAGGGGACCCAGGGGGGGGATGGGGGAGACCCGCGACAGGGATGGGGGTCCCGGGCAGTAATGGGGAGACACGGAAAAGGTGTCGGGGAAGGATGGGGGTCCCCAGGCAGGGCTGGGGGAGCCGGGAAGGGAGGGGGGGGCCCAGGGTGGGATCGGAGAAGGGATGGGGGGACCCAGGGCGGGATTCGAGAAGGGATGGCGGGGCCCGGAACACGGATGGGGAACCCGGGGAAGGATGGAACGAGCCAGGGAGGGACGCGGGCAGTGATGGGGAGAGCCGGGGATGGTGTCGGGGAGGGCTGGGGGTCCCCAGACAGGGTTGGGGGACCCGGGGCGAGACCCTGAAAAGGATGGGGAGATTGGGGAAGGGATGGGAGGAAGGAGCCGGGGAGGGCTGAGGGCACCGGGGCGGGACCTGGGAAGGGAGGGGGGGACCCGGGAAATGTGTCAGGCAGGGCTGGGGGTCCCAGATGCTGATGGGGGTCCCCAGACAGGGGACCCGGGGAGGCCGTGGGGGCTCCCCGTGCCCATCCCCGCACTCACTGCGCACCGTGACGCGGAGCCGGGCGCTGCTCTTCCGCACGCCCCCCCCCTCGGAGCGCACCTCGCAGCTGTAATTCCCCGAGTGGGAGACCCCCACTTTGGGCAGCAGCAGCTGCGGGGTCCCCTGCGGGCCCCCCACCACCTGCCCGTCCCGGTAGAACACGTGCAGGAGGGGGGCTCGGGGCCGCAGGGGGCTGGGGGTGCTGAGGCAGCTGAGAGCCAGGGGGGACCCCTCGGTGGGCTCGGGGGGACCCTCCAGCACCGGCACCGAGAAGAGCTCTGGGGAGGAGAGGGGAGCTGAGGACGGTGACTCTGAGTCTGCTGGGGAAATGCCTTTGGGGGTGCCGGGATATTGGAGTTCACGCTGTGGGGGGCTCACCCTGCACTGTCACTGTCACCAGTGCTGACTTCTTCCAACCCCAGTATTCCACCCGGCCCTTGCAGCTGTAGCGGCCGCTGTGGTTCAGCTGCAGAGGGGACAGGGGCAGCTCGGTCTGCTCATGGAACCACCCCAGATCCTTCTCCTCATGGTAGAAGGACACCGAGGTGACCTTGTCATCGTGCCAGCCCCGGCAGCGCAGTGTCAGCGTGTCCCCCTCCAGCAGCGCCCGCGCCGGCACCTGCAGCACCAGCCAGTCTGGGGGACAGAGGGGTCCTGTCACACCCCATGGCACCGGGACCCCCCA